ATTATTCCAGGCAAATATCTTGAAAAGAAAAATACATAAGAAAATATATTTTAGAAGAAAGTGAAATGTTTTTAAGAGGGAGTTTAATTTTGTTATCTATTTCTAGATGTAGGGGTCAAAAAGATATAAAGATCCACTTTTTAAATGGAATTATTTTTTTTTACACAATGTGATCCATTAATTATTCTGCATATAAAAGTATTAAAGTAAATTTATGAAAAAATCAATTATAAGAGATATTTTATACTTTGTACTAGCACATTTTGATATAAAATGTTCAGTATCTCGTAATTTTTTTATAATCGTATTCTAATACTTTTATGATATATTAGGTGTAGTAAAAAGAAATCCATTATTTTCGCAATAGATAGCTTTAGTAATCTGTATCTCGTCTACGCGTGATACAGATTACTAAAGCCATCTATTGGAAAAATAATGGATTTCTTTTTACTACACCTAATATTTTATGATATAAAACTTAATTGATATAAAGAAAATACAATTGTTTTAAAAACAATGCAGATACTTTACCAAATGGATACTTTTTTAAATAAACAGCTATGTGTTTTCTTTATATCAATTGATTCATCTCATTATTTCTATTCATAAAAGTATTAAAAAATTAATAATATGAGATATTATATGTCAATATTATATTTAATATTATATGTCAAAATATGTGCTATAAAGTATTAAATATCTGCTAAATTATTATTTTCGATAACTTTATTTAAATATTATTATATGCAGAATAATTATAGGAATCATATTGTGTAAAAAAAATCATATTAAAATTATTTCAGTATGACAAGGAGCGCGAAGCGTGAGACAAAAACACTCTCCGAGTCAGTGCGAATTCTGGATTCCGGGCCGCTTGCAGCACGATTATTAGCATGAAGGGGGCATAAGAAGGTACATACACTATGACGAGTCCATATCCGTGTATACTTGCGCATGCGTTGTGTACCCCTCTATGCTTTCTTCATGCTAACAACCGTGCTGCAAGTGGCCCGGAATTCGCATCACTGCTCCGAGGCAGTCCAGAGCTTCGACATGTATGCTTACGGACATGTTTCGTCAATTGTGTGTGAGCGGCTGAGTATGGCCGAGGTTGCCCGAAATTATAAGCGCTCACGAACATGCTTCATCAATTGTGTGCATGTAGTGACGCATCTCGGACTCCCTGACTCCCGTCTCATTTTTGACACCACTGATCAATACATGTATGCCAACTTCGCCATTAATGAACTATTAACTTTTTTATAATCTCATCTTAATACTTTTACATGTAAAATAATTAAAAGGGTATATTATATACAATTAAAAAATCATAATTATTAATAAATAATTTTTAAATGATGATTCAAATAATCTTGAAAAATTGATTTTATTATTGTCCTCCTTCAAGAGACCATAAATTTTCATCTAGAACATTTTTGTTCTGCCAGTCCTGATTTTTGAGATATTCAACTGTTTCAAATAAGATATCCCATACAGATAATTAGATTCTCACTTTTTTGTCAGTGAAATCACTGCCTGTCGTAATATTGATGAAAGTGAACATCGAATAATATCGAATAAAAAAAAAATGAAATTCAGAATACTAATAAATAGGAATGTTTTATCATAAACTTTCACTTAATTTATCGATAAAACGAGTATGTATAAATTAAGCAATAGATGTTTGAAATCGTATATTTATTTTGGTGGAATATTTTCGTAGATGTACGATACTATACGAGTACATACACATACTCACGTACACGACATACATAAATATCTAAATGTGAAAATAAAATAAAAATTACATAATGGACAGGAGTTAAACTGAATAGAGGCATGTAATACAAGGATATATCGACATAAATTTTTTTGCACTGATATTATTAATGATATAACACACATCTGCGCATACAATGTATGTGTACTAACTTACAATTAAACAATTACCACGTGATGATAAAAACTTACGCAATGAGAATTATCGTGACTTAATGTATCTCAATATATTAATATATACATCATATGAAATATATATATATAATGTCGTTGTCAAATTATACAATATTATAATGTAGTCAAGACATGTGATTCTTTGTGCTTCGTTTTTTCAAGTCCTATAGAATAACGAGCTCTTTTCACCAAGCATAAAGAAACGTTTTGCCTTCGATTACATTCTTTGGGACGTTCTAAAATTGAATTAGACGCTGTCACAGAAATTACTTTAATACTTCGCTCATCGATTGTACATGAATATATGCACGCACGCACGCACGCACATACAGGGTCTCACAACCAACATACAATAATTTTATAGCATGTTCTAGATAAAATAGAGTAAAATATCCTAATATGAAAATGTCGACAATAGTTTTTGAATTATAATTAATTAAATAATCTGTGTGTGTGTGTGTGTGTGTGTATAAAATAGTTTTTACTTATAAACATTAAAAGTTAGCTTATAATTATTTTAGTATCGACATTTTCGTATTAGGATTTTTATTCTAGAAGATGCTGTAAAAGTATTATACGGCGTGACACACCTTGTATACACATTACATACATATACACACACTCACATACACATACATACATATAGGTTGTCCCATTTTAATTTCCTTAATTTGACAAATATCTCAAAAAATATAAAAGATACAGAATAATGTTTCAGATGAAAGTGGAATGGTTTCGAAGAGAATGTATTTTAGTTACATTTTTTTTTCTAGTTATAGGCATCAAAAAAATGTAAGGGCCATCTCCACTTTTTTAAATGGTATTATATGATTTTTTTAAAACATAATACGATTCTTCTAATTATTCTACATGTGAAAGTGTTAAGATAGAGATATCAAAAAATCAATAATTTACGAAATATTTTAGACTTTATACTGACACATATTAATATACAATAAAATATTAAATATCTCATAAATTGTTAATTTTTTTATAATCGTATCTTAATAAACAATATAAAAAGATAAATATAGTAGGCTAATGAGAGTCAGCAAAGATAAACGGCACAATTATTTAGTGAACAATCAATAATCAGATATTGATGTCTTTTATTTTAAATGTTTCGACTCTCTTTGGAGTCTTCCTCAGCAAGAATAATGCAAGTCCAATGATGATAATGTTCATAATGTAAAATGTCACTCGCAAATTGACAAAGATGTAGCGTTGTTAATCATCGGAACATGAAGCATTGTACTGAAGCTTTGTTGAACATATTAAAAACTTAAAAAATAGAAATGTTAAAATTAAATATAAAGATCACACATTTTTAGAACACACATCCGTATACGATGTGTCATTCAGATATATGTATTAAAAATTCGAGAGTCCTAATATAATTATTGCATATTTTAATACTTTTATGAACACAATATACATATAATGAATCAATTGTGGTGGTTTATTTTAAAAAGTTTTCATTTTGTCTACATATTTCTTTTAAGCTATTATGTTTCTTTTACACTAATTGATTCATCTCATCTATTATATTCATAAAAATATAAGGATTATAAAGAAGATAATAATTTACAAGATATTCGATATATCATGACAATAATGCCAGCATAAAATATAAAATATCTCGTAAACTATTGTTTTCGACTTATCGTTTTTTGACATCTCGACCTTAATACTTTTGTAGACCGACAAAATTTAGGGAGGGTCTTGTGCTTTGAACTTTGAAAGATGTTTCCATAGGATTTTGATACGCTGAAAGCACAACTACGTTGTCCGTTTTTTTTTCATTATCCTCATATTGATTTTCATGTACAGATTTTTTAAAATTCTTGTCCTCCATATTGGATCCGTCATTTTGAATTGCACATTTTTTACTTCAGATTTAAAATCAATGACCACACAAAAAGACTACACAACATGCTCCTGTATTCGATGGCTATGTCAGATTCGAGAGGATATATCACGCACTGTAGGTGACGCGCGGGCTGCTTTGGCGTTTTAAATTCAATAACTTTTGAACAAATGATCGGAAATTAATTTTAAAAAGGATTTAAACTAGAAACATACAGCTAGTATAAATTGTCAGATATTTTTTACAATTTTTTTCGGTTTTTTAAGATTTTTCCAAAGTATTCTGTTTGCAATTTACATAAAACATTTTTTATAAGAATCGAAAAAATATTTTTAGTATTGTTGGAACATTTCTAAATTAAATGTCGCAAAACAGACAATGCCTCAATATAATTTTTTGTTTAGCTGGAAAAAATTAATAAAGAAGGTACTTCCGGAAAAAAACTGTTTTTGCGATTATTTAAAAATTGGAGGGTAATAGAAAAAAAACGGACAACGTAGTCGCTTTCAACGCATCAAAATCCTACGGAAATCTTTCAAAGTTCAAAGCACAAAATTCCTCCTAAATTTGGTCAGTCTGTGTAATTAGAGGATGTAATTAGAGGAATTATATTATGTTAAAAAAATCATATAATCTTCATATCTTTTTGGCACCTCCACTCCACCTAGAAAAAGAAACAACGTGACCAAAATAAACCCTCGAAACCATTCCACTTTCATCTCAGGATCTCTTTCACCAACCTCGGTTAAATTAACGACGGTTACATGGGGCTCATTTAGGCTCAGCTTTATAACTCATGCTTAATTTTTAATAGAGATTTAACATATTTTAAGTTAAATCTCGATTAAGAGTTAACCGTGAGTTGTGGAACTCTGAAAAAGATCCTGAAAGATTTTTTTCGTATCTATATTTTTCGAGATATTTAGGGAAATTAAAATGAAAAACTCTGTGTGTGTATATACATATCTTTCTTTTCTTTCTCTTACATGAAGTTATTAAAGGCTGGCGCGAAGTAAACTTCATGACTTAGATTCTCGTATGCCGAATTAACAGCGACAAATATCGTAATATTCGAAATCTTGTAATATTCGATTATTATATAGGCATTTATATATTAATAACGATACTTTTAACGATGCTGTATTATTGTGTGCTTTAATCGAATAACTTTTACAACTTGAACTTTTCATATTTATTTTTATTATCATTCGTACATTTATAATTGTAACTCAGAAAAGCCGTGTAACACCCTCGGATCACGTTTAGTCATGTGCGAATAGTCGATCATTATAATCAATAGAAAAAAAAATAAAAATAAAATAAGTTTCCTCCTTTTTATAAATTTTTCCAAACAATTTGAAAAATACTGAGAGATATGTGACATTTCAAAGTTATACTTAATCGAAAATCATCTGTTTACATATAATAACATTTATGATAATTTCTTTTTTTCGTTCGAGTATATTCTTTAATATCTGTATACTCGATATTATTGTCAATCTGATAACTTGTGTCTACATTTCGTTTCTATACCGTGATTATGCTAATGCATAATAATGTAAACTTGCACAATGTCATTTATTATGAAATACAAAACTTTTTCATACAATTTAACAAGTTAACGGTAATATCAATAAAAAAAAAAGAGATAATATTATTCATTAAAGGTTAAACATTTTCCGATTTCCCCTGTTTACTTAATTCGAGAGCGAGAGCTAGTTCGGCGTCTTCCTTCTCTTTACGCCTGAGCCTCTCTTCTTCTGCTTTTATACTCTGCTTTTCTGCCCATGCAAGTTGCTCCTCCTCCGATAAATTAGTTATGTTATTACCGCTCCACATCTTTCCGAAATTGTTCGTAAATTTGTCATCGTTGTAAGGGATATTAGACTTTGAAATGCGCATTATATTTAACTCGTGCCTCGCGATAGTTTTTGTGTCTTTAGTTGAAAAGGCTTCGTCAAGATTGATCGTTCTTGACTTGACATTAGCAAACGCTTGGGAAAAATCATTATCCTGAACGTTTTTGTTATCAATGGAAAACGCTTTTCCAAAATCGACATCGAACTTGCTTGCGCTACTCGTATCGCTTACATTATTCTTTTCGGCTTTTGCTTTAACGAGCGGAAAGGTATTAGAGAAATTATTATCGAAAATTTTAGTCGGAGTATTCTTACTCGAGAACGCAGAAATTGATTCAAAACCAAAAGGATCTGTTTTGTTTGTCCCCCTGTTCGCGTTCAAGTCCTCTGTCATCTCATCGGCGAATGGGTCCGTTATATTGAAAGGGTCTTCATAACGGTAGTCTCGAAAAGGATCCTCCGTAAAGTCCGACAGCTTTGGTTGCGCCATTGTTACGTGGATTTTACTCGTTGCTCTTGGTGGAGTCGATTGATTAGCCGTCGGTTCTGGCTGAAGCAGGTTTTTGTCACTGGTCAATTGTTTTACTGAAAAGGTAGAAGAAAATAACGCGGATACCGCCGACCGTCCTCCGGATGCTGATTGGTCCTAAATCGCTATTTTTACTTACAAAATTGTCAAAAATGCTGCAATTTTATGATATTCAAGCTTCGAGAAAAAAACTGTGACAAGGTGAGAAACCTTGTAAATCGTCATCTATTAAAGGGTTATAGGATTTTAAGAATTCCAAAGATCTTAAAAAAGAATTTCAAACATCTAAAAAAGAATTTTAAAGATATACAAAAACATTTGTTTTCCGTTTGTCTTTGGAAGCTCTCAAAATGTAACTGATATAAATAATGTGAATATCGTTTAAGTAAAAAATTTGAAGTTTGAAAGCAATATTTTTAGAAATATTTCATATCAGTTCACGAAGGCTTCTCTAGCCTTTTAATTTTTTCCTCAAATTAAAAATTTAAATAAAAATAAAAATAAAATTTTTCAAGAAAACGCAATTCCCATGTTAAATGTGACTAATTTCACGAAAAATAAAGTTTTTTAAAATTGCTTCTTAAAATAGAAAAAAGTATAAAAAGTATAAAGTTAAAAAGTCTTTTTTTAATTTCAAGATAATTTAGTAAAGCTAAAATCTAGCTACTGCAACACGGATTGTAATGATTATTTAGGGCGTTATTATTTCAATAATTTCGTTATATTAATTTTTGCATTTTAATCTTATTATTAAAAATAATTTTCCAAGAAAAAACGTTAATGATCTATTTTTTGAATAAAAATTTTATATGATGTTGAAGAGTACTTTAGTCTTTAATTTACTACTCCTATAACCCCTTAAAGCGGTTCGATTATAGGTATGCGTGCGTACGTGCGCGCGAATGGACATACGCATGAATGGACGCACGCATGCACACACGATTTATTTTTAAATACATTATGCCCAAAAAATAAGAATCACACATTCTATCTTCCAAAAATAGACACTTTTCAAGAGTCTTTAACAACTTTATTTTAAGAGGTCATAAGTCGTAAAGCCATAACAAAATGATCAATCGCAATTGAATATGGGAAAAATAATTAACTGTGATTGATCAATGTTATGTCTTACGGTTTTACGGTTTATGGCCTCTTAAAGTAGGGGTATGGAGTAGACTAACGATCTGACTGATTTTTTTTATAAAATATTTGTGAAATGTGAAAATTTTCTTACTAATTTTACAAAGTTTCATGGCATGAATTAAAAATCGCACAACAGCAGTTTATAGTTTTTAAAAGAGTGGATCTTTAATTCGCATGCTTCTTGAGTATTATATGATTTTTTTCATCGAGTTATTCAACATTAAAGCAAAAAGTGTCTGTTTGAGAATAGAAGACGAATGAGATAATGTTCAGAATTTTTATATGATATAGGGGATGTAAGCTCTATATTAAAGGAATATGTTAGGTTGAATATGTTTAATTTTTAGCCTTACTTAAACGAAGTTTACAAATGAAAAGTTTCTTTGTATCAAAAAAATGATAGTTGCACCTTCATAAGAAAACTGAGACCTTCCTATTCGTTTTTATTTCAAATAATACCGAACGCTAATTCGTTCGTCTCCTATGAGCAATCAAAGTAAAAAAAACTTCACTTCACTATTGAATATATTTCGTAAAAAGAAGTCGTATAACGCTTATAATAAATACGCAAATTAAAAATAAAGATTCATTCTTTCATAAATTATAAATTTCTTTGTATACGATTTAATTGACGCTATGAAATTTGTAAAGTTCGTAAAAAAATTTTCAGATTTGACGGGATGTAATCGTGTAGCTTTGTAATCGTGTAACTCTGTAAGAAATCATAAATTATTGACTTAAAATATGTTCTAGTAGATTCAAAACTCTAAATTCTTTTATATACGATACGTTATATAAACACATTTTTTTTTATTGATATTTTTCAATTGAATTATGTCTTAAGTTATCTTTTCTGTAATTTCCTTATGAAAATTGTTCTATTTAACATTCCATAGATTCCATAGATTATATTAAAAATCCATTTCTTAAAAAAAATCTAGAAGATGAAGAAACATTAAGAAGCACGTGCAGAAATGTGAAACAGAAAATAAGACAAGTTTATTCACTATCAAAGCACGAAACTTTTGACATGTACGAAAAATACTTCGTTTTATATTAAATTATTGTCTAAATAATGTCTGTTTGATCAGAAATTTTTGCGTTAACCTGTAGATTTTAACCGTAGATTTTAAGTAGAAACAGATTACTGAGATTGCGGCGTTCCACTTAATTCTTGCGAGTAACATTTATCTTTGTTTAATATTTGATAAAATGACAAGGATGAAATAATTCCATGAGCGTTATGAGCGTTAAGTGGAACGCAGCTTCTTCCTGCGAATACTCTTGTCCATGAGTTATACTAAAATAATTTTTAAAAGAAACATTAAAAACAATTTATTATATCAATTACACGTTCAGGTAACTCCATATATAACAGGAAGTATGTAAAATGACATAAGATATCTTTTTTTAAAGAAACATTTAACTTTTCTATATAATATTGAACAGAATTACAATTCATTATTTTATAGAATATTGTTTAAAGAAGGAAGAATATTTTACTTATTTTTATAAAAAAAGAAATGTCCTGGAATCTAAAAATATTAAGTCTGAAAAAATTATTTTGTAATATCTTTTTTTTGTTAACTCTGAAAAGTACTATTATTTAGTTCTGAAAAGGAGATAGTTACTAGTTTTAAGTCTTATTTTTTTAGTGACAGACCATAAAACGATCTATTTATAATAATTACTCAAAATTTGTGTCACAATGTACACACGAAGAACTTTAGAACAAGTTTAAACACAATTTTAATTAAATAAATTATTTTAATTAAATAAATTATTATTATGTAAGAGATCAATAAAAATTATTATATTATGTCAAGATATAATTTTAATTCGTAGAATTTTTTATTATGTCTTAACATAATTATAATTCGTTGAATATTATTATGTAACAACGTAATTATAAGTCGACAGCTAAAAATTTAATTTGTTCAATATTAGCCTTAGAATATTGTTTTATGTTGTTACAACATAAACAATAAAATGTAAATAAGTATATCGTTATTAATGTTTTAATAATAATAGGGAATTTTTGCAATACCGTTTATTCAGGTGAACGCTAAAATCAGATTATCTTCTTCTTAACAACTAATTAAGAAAAAGATAACTTTAGCCGTATCTGAATTCACGTTATTGCGAAAATTCCTAATAAAAAATTAAAACGTTTTTATTCGGAACTAAAATTATGTCACAATATAATAATAATAATCATAAATTTTTATTATAATTTTAATTTGTAGAATTGTATTATAATTCATTAATATTAATTTATTAAGATAGAGATCGTAATTTCTTTAGATAATTACTCTTTAAGAATTTTATATTAGAATTAGGAATTAAATGTTTATAACGGTCGGATCTTTGATGAGTAAATAATTCAATATGAATTATACATAGT